TTGGAATTAAGCAAGTATAACCACGTAAATCTAGTACAATCACCAATAAACGTAACGTAGTAGTGGTAACCAAATTTTGACGAAAATGGAGTCGGCCCCCAAACGTCCGAGTGGACGATTTGGAAGGGCTTATTACAAATGGAATTTCTACGAGAGAAAGGTTGTTTGTGACTTTTAGACGTGTTACAAGCAATGCATAGAGTGTTAGTGAGTGAATTTGCTAATTCCGGAATAGTTTTTACGAGGATGCTAATCTTGCGGTTGTGAGGATGTCCAAGACGGTCGTGCCAGAAGTTCTTGTTTGGCGGAGGTGACTCTAGCGCCACTTCGTTATACTTGGTAGGATGCTTAATGTGGTACATACCATTGCGTTTGGGACCCCGGAGAAGCACCTGATTGTCCTGAAGGTTCTTTATAACAAACTCATTAGCCGTGAAAGAAATCGAAACATTATTATCAGAGGTAAGACTAGAAACAGATAGGAGATTGTGTTTTAGGCGCGGAACATGCAAGATTTTGCGTAGTAAAGCTTACGAGTAGTCTCGGGTAGAGGCAGGATGCCTTGGCCCGAGTTCTAGATGGAGAGGTTGCTACCGTTTGCAATAGACACCGAGTCGTAGCCGGTATAGGGAGCGGAATGTTGGAGATGTGTTGCGTCCTCGGTCAGGTGGGATGAGGCGCCGGAGTCCAAGATCTAGTCATTCGTTGTGACCTGTTGTTGTTGTGCCGTGAGAGCCCGTGGGTTTGTCGGCGGTGCGTAGTTTAGATTGCACCTATGCCAGCAGTTAAGAGCGACATGACCGGACTTGCCGCAGATCTGACAGGTGGGGCACTGAAACGGAGGGCGTGCAGACGATAGCGCCTCGACTTGAGGCATCGAGCGATCGTTTGTCGGATGCCTTTGAAACGAACCTCTCCCACGTGACTTTTTCCAACGATAATTCCTGTTTGAAAAGAATGCCGTGGATTCGGAATTTTGTGAGTCTTTGAGGTTTTGTTGCTGAAGAATTATCTTTTCACTGCTGAGGAGTGAATAAAGATCATCAAGATGAATCGGTTGCAGCGAGGTCCTGATGGCTGTTTTGAACGAATTATAGGCCGTGGGCATCCCGTTGAGAATATAGAGTACAATATCTTTCGTGTCGACGGTGGAGCCGGCGGCCGCGATGTTGTTGACTATCGTCTTGATTTGATCAAGATATTGTTGCATGGTGCGGTCTCGCATCTGAATTTGGTGTAGCTCGTTCTTGAGCTGAATTACGCGCGACCGATTTGTAGGTTGAAGGCGGCGTTCAAGAGCGGTCCAGACGTCATGAGCGGAACCGAGATTGATCACATACGGGAGAATGGGAGGGGAAATGGTGGCCAGCAGAGCCGAGACAAGATTGCAATCAATTAGCTTCCACCGATTTTGTTCATGGGGGACCGAGTCCGGTGGGCGGACGGCGAGACCCGTGAGGTGCGCATCATAGCCATTTGCGGCGAAGTGCTGAGACAATTGTAAGCGCCATATTGAGTAGTTTTCAGAGGTGAGAGGGTTGGGAACCATGTTCTTGACATTGGATATCAAGAATTTGAGCTGAGGGATGAGAAGATCGGAATCTTGATTGGAAATGGTGGACGAGGTTCTGCCTTCCACTCCTAACCGGCGAGATCCGGCCGTGTCTTCTTCTGCCATGGTGGATTAGAGGCAAGATACGAACACTGGAGCTGTTGAGCTTTGTAGCTCTGATACCATGTGGAAACCCTTACCCACTGGAAGCGTGAGAGAAGCACAGCGACAGAGGAAAGGATGGAAGCAGAAAAGTAGAAGAAGAATATTTCCTTGTCTATGTTATTACAGCCTAATTGTTCTATATATAGACTAGATACATAAATGAAATACAAGAAAGTACAAAAGCTGACATGGCAATTTCTTTAAACCGGTGAACTATGATTGGTTCTTAACACCGAGGACCACCATCTCCCTTAACAATCCGCTCCTTACCTTCATTCCATCTTCCATATACTGCTCCTGAGGAAGTTTTTCAATCATTCCAAAAGTCACTACAGGTCACTACAGGAACATCTGGATTCCCCTTAGATAAGAAGTGATAAGCATTGGGGTCATCAATGTTCACAACTTTCCTGCTAATTTCAGGATCAAGCATTCTATCAAACAGCTTCCCCTTGCCCTTTATGTACTCATCTATGGTACAATGGAAGTCTAGGTGATCTCTGATAAAGTTGGTAAACACTGCAACATTAAAATCAATCTCATTGCACCTTCCTAAAACTAATCCATGAGAAGAAGCCTCTACAATGAGCTGATTTCGTATCTCCTTTTCTTTTATTTCCTTTTCCTCGAGATTAATTGCATTCTGTCAGCGCCACTGACATGGAAGAAACCCTTCCTCCTTCATCTCCTCCGACCAAGGAAGAATTGGACCATCAAATAAAAAGACACCAATATTCTCCAAATAAAGCAAATGATTCACAATTCCAGTAGGGCCAAGAACCCATCGGTGTGAGCTATTGAAATCTATGTAGTAATACCACTTGTTTCATTTCTTGAAGATGCTAAACTTGAATCCATAAGCTGCTGTGAATGCCAGACATGGTATTCCAATGAACACCTAGTCGTTGCACTGGCCGGAACGCCACCACGGAGGACTTCCCTCCCATATAAAGAGCCACGCTGAGGGGTCGACGCCGAGAGTGAAATTATCTGGCGAGGGATCATCTGCCATCTTCCTAGGTGAACAGTATGCTCAAGTTGTTGCTAAGATTGAGCCCTATCTTCATACCAACAAGGTAGGTATTGCATGGATGGTCAAAGCTCTCTCATGTGATGGCCCTGGACTTGTTAAGCTTCACATTGTTGAAATATGAGAGCTCGGCTGCAGATTTGTTAGACCGAAGTTTGGCATTCAATGACCACAGGACTCGCCGACCACCATCGAGGACCGTGATATTGTCGTCTCTATTGATGGCGATAGAGCCAGAGAGATTGGGGATAGGCGTCTCTCGGTTGGCGACCCAGATGACGTTTTCATTGGAGAAGTTGACCTGCCAAATGCCAATTGATGGTTCCTTTATCCCCCGCTTCTGTGTTTCCTCTTCTTCATTCTTCTACTGCAGCTGAGCTTTAGAGGAATCTTCTTTAGAGGTTCCATATTCATATGGCATAGTTGACTTAACTTGGGCAGATTTTGGCTCTATGAGATCGAATCGGGAGGCCTGGCAGTCGGAGGGGAGGGAAATGTATGAGCGACAGTGTGCGGGTTGATTGCAGATCTAATCGCATTTTGAAGCGGAGGTGAGCAGTGAAGGCGTCGGCATGGCTGCCAACCTGCGTATTCACTCTATTGAATGGGTGAAATTAGAAAATAAACCATCTAGATCAAGTGACTTGAGTTGCCCAAAGGGATTCATGACTTCAATCGTCATCGACCGCCAATCTTCTTCGGCTTCGATCGTCGTCGACAGCACATCTTCTTCGACTTCGATCGTCGTCAACAGCCAATCTTTTTCGACGTCGATCGTCGTTGATTACCCATCTCTTTTGACTTCGATCATTGTCGACAGCCCATCTTCTTCTGCAATCCGTCATTCTTCACGAGCTCCAGGAGCTCCAGACTCTGATACCAAGTAATGTAGTGGATCGTGGAAGAAATGGATATGCTAGAAGGGATACAAAACCAGGGAACCAACATAAGCTCAAAGGCTTCAAAAAGGTATAATATTCTCTATATGCTCCTTCATCCTTACAGCAACTATATGTAACCTTATAATAGAAGTTCTAGAAACTTAAAGAAAACAAGCAATAAAAAGGTATGCTAGTCCTTAAGCTTATTATAATTATGATGTTCCTTTTCTTTTTATTACATATTTTCTTTTGGTTTCTAGAATCTTCTATTGCAAGGCTACATATAATAGTTGTAAGGGAGAAGGAGCATTTAGAAAATATTATATCCTTTTGAAGCCTTCAACCTTGTGTTGTTTCCCTGGTTTTGTATCACTTGTAGCAAATGCATTTCTTCCACGATCCACTACATCAGTTATTTTGTTACAAAATGTCATAAGCACTTCCTTTTAAATATGCCTATGATAGATATTTTACACTGTAGGATCAAACTTTGTAATTGGTTTCTAACTAGCTCATCGAATCTTGCCAACAAGTTACAAACTGATGTTGATATCAATTACAAGCTAAAAACAATCTATCTAGGCTACAGCATCGGTTCAGGGAGATGACACGTTATTCAGACTCTCCTCAAAAGCTAAAGAGCAAATATTTGCTCGTATTAGTTTGGAATTAGCAGATACTGTTAATCAGGAGATGCAGACTTACCATTCCCAAGCATGCTGTAGGTTTGAGGAACCGAACAGTTTCACGCATTAAGTATTTTCCTTATGTTGGCGGCTTGTTTTGACATCTATCTATAAGAGCACTTTGGCAATCCAGTTGTGATTCTGTGAATGTCGATGATGGATAGCTTAGTATACTGTACTATATAATCTAGTAAGCTACAATCCTAAACAATATAGTATTCAATCTGACTTATTCCGAGATTCAACGATGCTTTCTTCAACCCTCCCTCCATCTTATTGCTTCTTTCAACTTGCATGTTAGGATCTTTTGTCTGCTTCCTGTACTAAAAGAAATCCACAATTCTTGTATGTGCCCATAGCCCTTTTGTCTTTCACTTTGCAGGTATCCTTTTTTTTTGTAATTTGTACCAAATAAAACTACTAAGCACGATTCTCAACTTTTCTTTAAAGAAGCATCTAAAACTCTCAACCTTTAGAGATATGCCAATATAGCATATTCCAGCAAATAGAGTATAAGTTGTAGGTAACATCCAACAACAATAGGAGAGGTTCCAGATTTTTATTTACAACTCTATAGTTTTAGTAAGTAATTTCAGGGTTAGCAAGAAGTATTTATTTCATCATTGTAGTTAGGAGTACGGGAAAATGTTTCAAATGGCTCCAATGATGGAAATTTGTATGATTACCTTTATCTCATCAACAAGCTCCTTGGGAGCCACTTTTGTGTTCAAGAACTCATCAACTTGCTGTAATGTTGCCTTGCGGTCCTATTACCAGAAAAATACAAGTTTGAAGTTCAATTTTAATTGAACAAAAATGGCTAAAATTAATAAAACAAGAATAATTAAAAAACTCAATTTGCTGAGTTGGAAACAAACTTCTGCAAACAAGAGCTTCTTGGTGATGAGCTGTATGATAGCAGCAGAGCCCAGAAGCTGAAGTAATGTTTCTACCTGCACAAAAATGTTTGTAATTACTTGACAATGAATTTAGAGGACGGCAAATATTGTTCGCTCACATGACATAGCAGCAGCAACAACAAAAACAAAAAAGAGAATAAATGCATTACCTCCGTGAAGGCAAACAAGCCCAAGCCAGTAGCAGCTGCTAGACCAAGAGCAACAGGTACACCATCTGAAGTCCCCTGAACATGAACAACACTGTTTTTAACCCATTAAGATAGCTTAAATGCATAAAGCTAAAAGTCATCTTGATACAACTTTTATATCGGTCAAAGCATATATGCTGAAATCGCAGCAATTATTTCGAAAATATCAATACTTATGGGAACAAGGATTGAATGGATATAGCTAGATCATCTCAAGCCATCTAAGCATGACATATATTGTTGTTAGATGATGCATATAGCTTACAACAAAGAGTTCAGAGCTATTATTTTGATGCAACTTTAATATTTAGCAAATTCTTTTCTATTAAAGAAAACATATTTATAATGCAAATAAATATAACAACAAGAACATTGGGTATAGTTCAACCCTTCTTACTTGTAAGGAAAAATAGATAGAAGTGGCCGCATAGAAAAACTGATATTTAAAATAAGCAAAGAAGATAATTCCTCAGTAGAATAGCACGAACATACCCCAATTGTACCAGTAAGTGCTTCTGCTAATTCACCAAAATCAAGCAATAATGTCTTTTTAGGAGATGTCCAAGGAAGGCCACTATTCTGCACAAATAGTTTGGACAAATAAGACCACAAGAGCATATATAAAGAAGGGGTCGCCAATCAAGTGATAAAACTATTGCAAAATGATACATGACAATTGTTGGATTAAATGTGCAACCTTCCATCCTCGAGTTCCTTCAGCGCCATCCTTTATTGCAAAAGCAGCTTTAAAACCATTTGCGGTCAGCAATTCGGCGACCAATTCAGAGTTCCCATCAAACCTGGCTTTCATCATAAATTTCCACAAAGTTAGTCTCAAGTAAACAGAAAAAGCAAAACAGAAGAAAATGTATGGTGGATAATGATATAATTCTCTCAAGTCTAACTCTAGCTGGCAAGAATCTCACAACTAGAAACTAACCAAAATCTTAATCGGCTATAGAAATATTCTACTATAGCCAAATATCACAAAACTTAAAACTTTCATAGCAGAAGCAAGAGCAAGCAGGGCTCTCACCTATTAAGCAAACTCATTAAAATAAATGTCATTTATTTTGTTTACCATACTCTTTTTGGAATAATTGAATGTATTGTTCCATAATGCATTCTTATAAAAAAATATGGAAGGTGGATCTTAGAAAACTTTGACAATGCAACTAGGAATTTGGTCTACATGCAAATCACAACTAACAAAAAGAATTCACCTTTCTTTCCACAAAAATGCTGAGAAAGATAAAATCTAAGCTATGGCGTACCACTGTAATTCTTCATGCAGGCAAAGAATCATAATTTCATATCTAAAGTATCAAAATCAAACCAAAAATAATAATCTTTGAACTTAGCCATACTTATCAATAATAAACAATGTGGTATTCCCCGGGTCCTTAAACTTCAAAGCAAGCTTATTCAAAAAACCAGCTTTATCTTCCCCTCGATACGTTATCGTCACCGACTTCTTCTTCAATCCACGCAAATCTGGACTCCCCGCCTCCTTTAACTCCTTCCCTTCCCTTATATCAAGCAACTGCGCACCCTCATCCTCCCCAATCCTCGCATACGCCCTCTTCGCCGACTCCACCCCCCAAGCCTTGGAGCGGCCCAATGTCTGTGACACAATGACTGGAACAACCAAGACCGCAACCCCTCCCGCGACGATCAAAGGGTTCTCGGATCCGAACTTAACAATCCCATCAACGATCCTGCCGAGGTCTAAGTCACTCGATGAACTCGAGAACCCTAGAGCCTCATCATATGTTAGAGCTTTCGCTAAGCCCGCGACGCAGAGAGATGAAGATAGAGAAGCTAAACCCTGGTTGATTCGCCGAATAAGTGAAGCTGAGGGCTTCAACGTTCTGATGGGCAAAAGAGCTCTTTTGCAATCGGGATTTTGGGGGAGAGGAATTGGGGCGAGACTGGCGGCATTGAGAACCTGCATGGCATTATTTTGTGGCTGGATTAGGGATTGGGGTTCATGAAATGGGTTTTGGAGGGTACCGATGGACTTCTGAAGAGGGTTGGTTGGTCCTTAGTGATCGACGGCACGACGAGGTGAGGTAGAGGATGATGACGTGGGAAGAAGAGATACGTGGAGCAAATGGGAGGGCGACAGGTGGATGAGAGGATCAGATGGCGAGGAATTTTGTGCGGCGGGGAGTGGCGCGAGGTCGCGGTCGACCGCCATGAACTTAATATAAGTGTACTGCACTACTGCTACTGCAATGAATAAATGTGTAATATCTATTATTTGAAATAGATAACACAAATAACGAGTCTTAGGAGGTGTTTTACTGTTTTTATATAACAAAAATAATTTATATTTAAATGATGATTTTTAGTTTTTTACATAATTTTTTAAAATCCTATCTTTAAAATTTTAATTTTTCAAACCCCTAATGGAAATTATAATTCTAAAAAAAGCTTTTAGTATAAATAAAAAAAGTATAAATTATTTGAAACAAAATCTTAGAGTATATAAAACTTGTTATGAAGTTGTCGTGAACAAAATAATTTTACTATTATGACTTCAAAAATCATATTTTTACTATAAAATGTTTTGAAAAACAATAAGAGAACAACAAGAAAGTAGTAGCCACACAAAATTATGACTATTGTTTGAAAAATAAAATAGTTAAAAAGCTATCCCAAATAAATCTAATATGATTATAATTATTGGTAAATTTATTATAAAAATAATTATTTTGGCAAAAATATATATTAGGGTTTAAAAAAATCTACCTATTAGGTTAATATGATGTTAATGATGATTAAATGGCCTAATGCTCTCTATCATTTTCCACCTTTTATATCTCTTTCTCTTTCCTTAATGATTAGTATTGATACGTCGTCAAAAAATTATCTTAAACGGGCATGAATCTCGATACAAAATCAAGTTGGAAACTTCAAAAATTATGATTTCAGCAAACTTACAGTTTAACTTAGCGTCTCGGAAATACAAACCCAACGACACCAAATTCAACCCAATCCGAGCCCAAATGGGTCCAAATCAAGGACATGAAGCATTGTTGAAAGTTTCAAACCACAATTTGGATTAACAAACGGTTTCCAAACATAACAAACATATACTCGAATCGAGCGGATCGACGAGACGAATCCAACGAGCCCAAGATCTTCAAATTCCAACATCTTTAAGGTCTTCAAATGTCTAAAGAATAGTGCATGATCAAGGGATTCAACATCGGCCGTTCATCCGACCACTCCCCATTTACCCTTAATCTCTCACCTATTTATGGGTCATGCCACTCCAAAAATCTAAAAATATAACTCCCTCTCCTCTTGAGGGAGGACCCCTAAGCCTAAGGAAAAAAGAGAGAGATCGGAGATCGCTCTTGCTTCCTTGCCTCCTCGACCACCACTGGAATTTCGCCGGACCACCGCCGGAGTTCCGTCGAACCATCGCTAGTCCACCACCACCAAACTTCCGCTGGACCACCACTTAAGGCCCTCGCCTCCGCCGGACCACTGCCTGACGTCGTTGCTCTACCGAATCACCACTTAAGGCCCTCACCTCTGCCGGACCACTGCCTGACGTCGTTGCTCCGCCGGACCACCACTTGAGGCCCACACCTCCGCCGGACCACCGCCTGACACCGTTGCTCCGCTGAACCACCACTTGAGGCCCGAACTTCCACCGGACCACCGCTAGAGGCCCTGTGCTTCACCAGGCTACCATCTAAGGCTCGGATTTCCACCGGACTGTCACTTGAGGCCCCGAGCTCCACCAGGCCACCATCTGACGCCCGAAATTCTACTGAAGCACCACCCTTCTACTACGGTCTTTCAGACTCCTATTTCCTGCCGACTACGGTCCTCCCGATCTCCGTCGCCTACTTTGGTCACTCCGACCTCCATCATCAGACAACGGTCTTTCAGACCCCGGTCTCCTGCCGAATACGGTCCTCACGACCTCTGTCGCCTACTATGGTCCTTCCGACCTACATCTCCAGAATGGTTTTCCTGACCCCAATCTTCTACCAACTACGGTCTTTCGGACCCCCGTCTTGTGCCAACTACAGCCCTTCCAGCCAAATAAACATGTATATTATTGTAACTCCCACTATGTAATACGCTCTATATGATGTACATTTATACCATCAAGCCAAGGCCTTATCCCAAGGAAGGGCCTCATTTGTTATCGACTGTAAATACTAGTGGATTCATTCAAACTGGGCCAGGCCCCTTGGTTTTTCCCCCTTTTTAGGGTTTCCACCTAAAAACTCTGGTGTCTCTTATGAACGCTGCACCCTCTCTCTTATCTGATTATGTGCTGGATCTTCATACAATGCTAAGACGTTAAACAATATATTTTTTCTACCATCGCGAATACTCCATGACGCAACAGTTTGACACCGTTTGTGGGAACGTGGTTCCCGACTGGGGGGCAATTTTTGCTCCAACCTCAAAAGGACGTTAATATCCACTTGCTGACATCAGCCATTGCTTCATCAATTTCTTGGAAATTAGATCCGGACTGGGGGGGAACTTTGACTCCAACTATGATCAAGAAGATCCCTCCAATACTTCCAACATCAAGTTGATATTATAGGAAAATTCTAGCAAATACAATGATGCTTCCAATCAATTATAAGATTTATACAGTCCCTTACGAGACCTCTACTCCTTGGGCAAGGTTTTAATATCAACCTCAACAAGATAGTAACGGTCTAAAAATAGACTATTCTTTACCTTTGATTTGGGATATACCCGACATTTGTCCCCTCCCAATCAAGGAAAAATCGATCTCAGGGGGATACAATTTGACCTCTTCCGCACAGATTAACGTCATCGAGCAAAGGCTCTGACATACAATCTTTGATAGGTATTACATCCTTGGTGGATTCTCTCGATCTCTTCCACACAGGTTAACGTCAACCTTGAATAGGTCTTACATCCTTGGTGGATTCTCTCGACCTCTTTCATACAGGTTAATGTCATCGAGCAAAGTCTGTGACATACAACCTCGGATAGGTCTTACATTCTTGATGGATTCTCTCGACCTCTTCCACACACGTTATCGTCATCGAGCAAAGTCTCTGACATATAACCTCGGATAGGTCTTACATCCTTGGTATATTCTCTCGACCTCTTACACACAGGTTAACGTCATCAACAAAGGCTCTGACATACAACCTCGGATATGTCCTACATCCTTGGTGGATTCCCTCGACCTCTTCCACACAGGTTAACGTCATCAACAAAGGCTCTGACATACAACCTCGGATATGTCCTACATCCTTGAAGGATTCTCTCGACCTCTTACATATAGGTTAACATCGTCGAGCAAAGGCTCTGACATACAACCTTGGATAGGTCTTACATCCTTGGTGGATTCTATCATTCTCTTCCATACAGGTTAATGTCATCGGGCAAAGGCTCTGACATCGCGACCTCTTTCATATAGGTTAACGTCACGAGAAAAATCTCTGACATACAACCTCGGAAAGATCTTACATCCGTAGTGGATTCTTTCGACCTCTTCCATATAGGTTAACATCGTCTAGCAAAAGCTCTGACATACAACTTTGGATAGGTCTTACATCCTTGGTGGATTCTATCGTTCTCTTCCATACAGGTTAACATCATCGGGCAAAGGGTCTGACATACAACCTCGGATAAGTCTTACATCATTGGTGGATCCAATATGGGTTAACATTATCGAGCAAAGGCTCTAACATACAACCTCGGATAAATCATATATCCTTAGTTAACGTCGCTAGAATGCCGTCAATGGACTTCCATCGGACTTCTCCACAAAGTTAAATTTCTACCCGATGTTGAATTTCCTCCTATCACTGAATTTTTTCCTTGTAGGACTTTCGTCAAAATTCTACCCGACGTCGGACTTTTGCCTGCCGTCGGTCTACTACATATTATCATACTTTTACCCGTTGATGGACTTTCGTCGGTCTTCTACTCGACACAATTCTTCTACCCGACATCAGACTTCTTCCTGTTGTTGGACTACTACCCATCGTCGGACTTCTACCCATCGTCGGACTTCTACCCGTCGTTGGACTTCTGCCCATCGACGGACTTTCATCGGTCTTCTGCCCGAGGTCATACTTCTACCTGACGATGGACTTCTTCCTACCATCGGACTAATACCCGTCGTCGAACTTATGTTCATCGATGGACTTTCATCAGTCATCTGCCCGAGGCCGTACTTCTACCCGACGATGGACTTCTGCCTGTCGTCGAACTACTACCCATCGTTAGACTTCTGCCCGTAGACAAACTTTCATCGGTCTTCTACCTGAGGTCGTACTTCTACCCGACGAACTTCTTCCTGCCGTCGGACTAATACACGTCGTCAAACTACTGTTCGTCGATGGACTTTCATCGGTCTTCTACCCGACATTGTACTTCTACCCAAAATCGGAGTCCTGCCTGCCATCGGATAACTACCTATTGTCGAACTACTGCCTGTTGATGGACTTTCATCGGTCTTCTACCCGGCGCAGTACTTCTACCCGACGTCGGACTTCTGCCTGCCATCGAACTACTATCCGACATAGGATTTCTGCCCGTCGATGGACTTTCGTCGGCCTTCTACCCGACATTGTACTTCTACCCAACGTCGGACTTCTGCCTTTCACCGAATTACTACCAGTCGCCAGACTTCTGCCCGTCGATGGGCTTTTGTCGACCTTCTACCTGACTTCGTACTTCTACCTGACGTCATACTTCTACCGAATGTTATACTTATACATGATGTCGGACTACTACCCATCGTCGAACTTCTGCCCGCCATGGACTTTCATCGGTCTTCTACCCGACATTGTAATTCTACCTGACGTCAGACTTCTACCTATCGTCGGACTTCTGTCCGTCGATGGACTTTCGTCGGTCTTGTACCCTGCGCAGTACTTCTACCTGACGTCAAACTTCTGCCTGCCATCGGACTACTACCCGACATCGGACTTCTGCCCGTCGATGGACTTTCGTCGGCCTTCTACCCGACGATGTACTTCTACCCAAC